CAAGATAAAAAAAGTTCTGTAAATCTGTTATACAACAATGTGAATACAGGTAACACTACTGAATTGTATGCTTAAGAATGGTTAAGCTGGTGGATTTTATGTTATATGCATTTTACTGCAATTAAAAATAAAATAACATAAAAAGTAAATGGAGCTGGTTTGAACTGCAGCATCTGAGGTCCATCCCAGATGGGCTGAATCAGAACCTGCATTTTTTAACAAGAATCTTCCAGGTGGCCCATGCACACACTAAACTTTGGGAATAGCTAGTCATAATGTACTGAGTATTAGACCAGGGTTTAGAAGATGTAGCAGACACTGTTGTTTGCCTACCCCACACCCATTACCTCTCTTCCTTCTTACAAAACCCGACATTTTCCGAGCAGCCGTATGCTTCAGGGGAGGCTGGCCTCATCCACAGCCCCATGGTGGTCCCACTCCCCTGGAGTTACTGGTTTGCTGTTGGGACTGTTGCCTGGTTCTGGCCAATAAAACTAAGGAATGAATTTCTGGGAAAGGTTGGCTCCCTTTAAGGACACCCCAAAAGAAATGGCCACTTTGGAAGTTTTCATGTCAGGATGCGAACAGAGCAAATTCTGTAGACATCTTGGGACCCTGCAAGCAGCTAGCCCAATCCTTGATAACACAGAGCCACTGACTGACAACATTCTGGACAAAATCCTCATCAAAGGATTTCTGGCTATGTGAGATTAGAAATACATTTATTGTTTAAGACCATTTGAGTAGGATTTTCTATTACTTGTAGCCTGGGATTTCTCAACCTTGACACTATTGACATTTGGGGCTAGATAAATCGTTGTTGTGGGGATTGTCCTGTGCATTGTAGGATGTTTCAAAGCATCCCTGGTCTTTGCCTACTAGATGCCAACAGTACTTCTCCCTCCCTCAGTTGTGACAACTAAGAATGTCTCCAGACATCACCAAATGTTCCTTGGGGGGCCAAATCACCCCCAGTTCAGAACCACTGTTGCTGCCAATGTCATCCCAAGGAACGCAAAGAACTTTAAGTCTGGGCCGGCCCGGTGGCGCACTGCGCTAGTGCGCCGCTTGGGAAGCACGGAGGCGCTCCCGCCGAGGGTTCGGATCCCACATACAGACCGGTTCCCGCTCAGCCGCTCACTGGCTGAGCGAGGCGCGGGGGCAACGCCAAGGGTTGCGATCCCGTTGCCGGTCCCCGGTCCGGTATGGGGGCAACACTGAGGGTTGCAATCCGTTGCTGGACACGGAAAAAGACAAAAGACCAAAAAAAAAAAAAAAAGAACTTTAAGTCTGACGCCTCACGCTGCTGTGGGTCCTTAGGAAAGTAAAACTCGCTGCTTCCCTCCCCTCCCCTGAGGCCCTTTAAGGATCAAAGTGAGATCAGGTGTGTGAGAAAAGCAAACACACGCAAGGTGTTACTAATCACTATGTCTTTGATGCTGCCGAGCATTGATAACAGTGCCCATTTCTATTTATTCGCAGGAGGTTTAATAGGCAGAGATGTTTAACGTAACAGAAGGCCAGCATGGATAGTGAACGGAATTTTCCCTCAGCAAAGTTTGTGTGGCCTGTGAGACTTCCAGGCTGGTTCTCACTTGGAAATCCTGCACTCCTGTGGGCCGGCCCTGACCAACCTCTCTTGTCTTGTGTTTCCCTTCCTAGAATCTACTACCACCTCAAGACCACTTTCTTTGGGAGTCCCCTGACTTCTAAAATCAGTGCCTTCAGATTCGTCTCTTCGCGGAGAGTTTAGTTCTATCTGAAGTGTTCCAAAATGTCCTCCAGGACAGGAAGACTTACAAGAGGATCTCTACTTTATAGAAAAGTATGGAGGAGGATTGGGAGGGTGGGAGCAGGGGAGGGGACAGGGGACAGGTGCTGTGAAAGGAAGGCATTGGGTGCATCTGATCATGTATGTTGCCCAGGGCTCACCATGTGCCAGGCACATTACTAGGCACTGGGGCTGGTGTCAGGGTGGGGAGCAAAGGCCATTAGGAGGCAGCTGCAGCCCTTGGGGACTCTCGATCTACTGGGGATTATGTGGTAGCCACTGGGTTGCTCTCCTAGTGTAGTCCCATTTTATGGTATACGGCAACTACCCCAATTTTTGTACCCCCACCCCCACTTCTGCAGCCTGTGACCTTTGAGGGCCACTCACTCCCTCTCTGAACCTAGAGGCAGGACGTGCATATCAGACCATAATTTTTGTGTTAGGTGCTGGCATATAACAATTTGGACTGGAGAAGGCATTTGTTGGCTGCTTCTAGGGAAACAGCTCTGTGTTCCTTTGGGGGAGGAGAGTGTCTTGCAAAAGTGATGCCAGGCCCTGCTGTGGCTGCTTATTTCCATAATGGAGTTAAGCTGAGGACTAAGCCCATATGCAAACGAAGGCGGATTCAAGACAGCTGCAGAGAAATCAAGCTGGAGCCTTGATCAAACCACATCTGATCTACCTCTGGACGTTTTGGTAGCACGTACTAATATGACCTCCTTATTGTGTAAGCTGGTTCGAACTGGATTTTCTGTCACTTGCATCATAAACTGTCCAAAGTGACACAGAATTAGGTACCAGGAAGGGGATGCTACAATGAACAAACCTTCAACATGCAATTAGCTGAAGAGAGATGTTCAGGCAGAGAGCAGCAAGGATGTCTGTACTCAAACTAGGAAGACAATATTCCTTCTTTAGCAAAACAGCCAGGGAGGTGGGATGTAGACTGCATGCCCATGGAGACCATGCCATTTGGAGGTCTTAAAGGAAATACTCAGGATGTTGGCTTCTTCTTGCAGTCTTCATTAAGGTCCCAGAAGGCTCAAATTGAGGGAGGAGGTGGCCCATTTGAAGGTGGAGAGATATGTAAATAAGCTTTGCTCAGAGAAAACCTTTCTGCCTGTGGTCTGCAATCTAAAGTTACTGGAAATTGGGCCGGCCCGGTGGCGCACTGCTGCAGTGCGCCGCTTGAGAGCGCGGTGGCTCTCCCGCCGAGGGTTCGGATCCCACATACAGACCGGTTCCCGCTCACTGGCTGAGCGAGGTGCGGGCGCAGCACCGAGGGTTGCGATCCCGTTGCCGGACACGAGAAAGACAAAAAAAAAAAAAAGAAAGTTACTGGAAATTGACAAGCAAGTCCTGCTGGGCTGGAAAAGCTGATTTATCTGGCTAAGTCAGAATATAGGCAACAAATAGGGGACTCATCAAGAGGAAAGATTGGGGCCCCAGAAAAACTGTTCCCCCAATTCCCAGGTCTCTCCCAAGCATTTTAAGAACATCAAGCTTGATAAAGGGGTCACTTGACTTGTGAAGACATATCTAGGTAACAGCTGGGAGGCAAGGGGCAAATTTGGGGTGACTCCCCACTTCAGAGATGAGGGAAGATGCCACTAATCTGAAGAGCAGGCACTGGGCAAGGCACAGAGGCCAGTGGCCAGCTTGAGGATTCTGACCTGGGAAGATCTCCAGCTCTAGCTACCAGCCCATAGATCTGAATAGAAGAAATGCATTAAATTCTTAAGGGAGCTGAGTTGCGAAAGAAAGTGGCCAAACCTGACCTGAGATCACCCATCCCTCAGGGCAATCCCTGAACTTGTAGCCACAAGAAGTGGGGCGCTAAAACATCGACTCGTGACAGGCTTCAACCCTGCGGCCACTCAGATGTTGACAAGGTAGTGGACAAGGGAGATATACCCGAATCTAGAACCGGGTACTGCCACATTGTCTGACTGAGGAACTTACTTTACCATAAGGGCAGGGAACCCTCAATGTCTGTATCCAGCAAGATACTGCGTGTGCTGGTAACCCACGGCAATGGAACGTTTCCCATTCTCTTCTTCAAATGGAAATTCTTACTGCGAATATCCTTTGCTGTTTTCTTTCCAGGTTACCAGCTGTATTGATAGTGGTGAACTTCAGAATTTAGTTCATTGATTACCAGACATGATGGAGAGTATGATGCACCTCCCCCCGAAATATGACCTTGAATCCAAATCTAGTAACTGGATGAATCACAGGGCTGCACCCTTTGAGGGAGGGGGTGAGGCCGTTTTAGCCAAGTGTGGGTATTTGCGATGATTATTTAGGGGAAGGAGAGTACATGGATGTTGGGTTGCCGGCGGTGGGCTGTTATGGGACATTATGGTTACCACTCTAACACCCATCTACCCTTCTCTGGATAACAATCCTGATTTTGTTCAGGTAACTACACCAGAACTCACAGCTTGTGTTGAGTGAAGCTAACTCCACTCCCAGATCTAGGACTGAGGCACATGGCTCTGACACTAAGCTCATGCTGGTGACGTTGCGTAGATCTTAGAGACTGGATGAGGCATCTGCCTGGAACTTCTGAGAGACGAGTTCTCTCTCTTCCTTCTTTTGGTGTGGATTTGTTGGGACATACAAGTGCTGCCATGAGAAGCAACTGAGACCAAAGCCAACACAAGGAGGGAAAGTTGAAAGAATCACAGAGAAATGGAGCTGGACCCAGATCGTACCACACCCTCCCTTACTCCTGGGCTTTTGAGTTATATAATGTCTTCTTTAATATTTGAGTCATTTTGAAGTTTCGTGTTACTTGCAACCAAATAATAAACTATTACAGAGTGTGATAAATGCTAAAATCAAAGTATGACAAGAGCGTCGGGGTGGCTAAGAGAAGTTAGGTTAGTTAGTTAAGAGAAGCAAGCTGTTCTTTGAGCACTGAGGGTGGGAAGAGGTGGAAAGGAAACGGTCCCAGTTCTTAACGTTAAGCGCACCGTTTCTTGGGGATTTATTTGATTCATCTGCGGCCATCATTCCACCTCTCTTTTTGTGAATGGAGGGGTAAAGGCCACCTTCGGTGTAGGGCAGTGCACCGGGCATTTACAAGTCCCCAGTAGCTTTGGATGACGGAAGGAATTCTGCCATCTGTTTTCCCCGTCCCTCGGTAGGCTGAGGGAGCTCCCAATATCCATCCACACCGTGAACACCTGCTAATCCTCTTTCCTCCCCACTGTAGTTGCAGGAGATGGGTCACATGTCTCCCAGGCTGAGAGCCTTCCTCTATGAACCCATTGGAGAAAAGGATATTGGCTGTGTGGACGGGATCAGCCGTGAGCTGGCCATCAATTTGATCAACAAAGGTTTCAACAAGGTAATTTGTTTTTCTTACTTCTCCAGCTTCTCTTTCCCCAGTCCTGCCAGGTGGCAGCTCCTACCACGTGTTCCTGCAAGGGGTCATCAGAGAGCAAAGCTGCCGCTTGGCAGGGTGCCACAGGCTTCAGGGCTACTGACCCCACATGCTTGGTCAGCCTCAAGGGCCCGCAGATGATGGGCAAATGGAATCACTTCATCTCAGAGCAGCTGGGCTGGGCATGATTCGCTTGGTGTTCAAACACTCGGGTGGACAGGAGTGGGCCGGCAGCCGGAGTCTAGGGCAGAGCTGTCAGGACAGATGACATGGATACACTCCCCACCCAAGGAGGAGTAATGGCAGCCTGGGGTCTGTACCCGGGTAAGGGGATGTGAGTTATTCTAAGATGCTATTTCCAGCCTGAGAATGGCCTTAAGGATACCCAGTGGAATGTGAGCGTTCTTTTCTGTGTAATTATTTGTTTTCATGGGGCTATTAAAAAGCTGCTTGGAACCTCAGGAGAGAATGGGAGACAGTCCTAAAGAGAACCCAAAGAAAGTGAGCACAGACAAGGGGGCTGGGAACTGACACAGAGCTTTGCACACCCAGTCAAGACCAGCGCTGGAGCTGCTGCTGTTAATACCCTGCAGTTTTCAAGACAGTCTACACCAGCAGGCAGGAAGATGCTGCAGAAACACCCAGACAGGCTGGGAACTGCTGCATGCACAGCTGAATGTCAGTTTGGTTTGTACCCACACCTGAACTATTGGACCTGGTTTTCTACCTGATGTGCTGCTCTGTACCAGTTGTTAAATATTTGGAATACCACACCAATCCACCAGCCAATTTAATATCTAACAGGCGGTAGTGTTAGGAAACTGGAGCTCCGCAGTTAGGCAGATTTGATTCTTTCCTCCCAGGTAAGGGAGATAGGGCCATTCCTAAGCATAGCGAAGTTGGCAAGTCTCATTAGGGGAGAAATTTTAAATTAAAAATTATTTTTTTAAAGAAATGACTGTTCCTTTTACTTTTCTGTTGTGTTGGAACACAATTATGGGGACAGGCATTGACATGAAAGGTTCGACTCAAGGAATTTTCACACGTATATACACCCATGTACCCACCACCCAGACCCAGTGATTGGACACCTCCAACATTCCAGATGGTTCCCTCGTGCCTCTTCCCAGACAATGCCATTTCCTATCCCCAGAGGCAACCACTATTCTGACATCTACCACCACTGATTTGATGTTTCTATAATTGTGGGGTTTTGTTGTTATTGTTTATCTATACTCATCATTTAAAAAGTACTTTTATTAAGGTATAATTTACATACAGTAAATTTCACCTTTTAAAATACACAGTTTTACAAGTTTTGACGGATGCATACAGTCATGAAGCCATTACCACAATCGACGTAGAACAATCCCCTCTCCAAGATATTCGTCCTTCCATGCCCTTCACATTCACTGCTCTCAGTCTCTGGAAACCACTGGTTTATTTTCTGCCCCTACAATTTTGCCATTTTCAGTATAACTGTGTTTTAAATGAGGATTACAAGTGGGATGATAGACATATTTAATAAAAAGGAATGAATGGGTAATGGAAAATTTTCAGGCATCTGAGGACTTGCCTACATAGAACCAGGGCCGTAGGGACAGTTTAGCCGTGTGTAGCCTGGTCCCTAGAGACATGCCCCTCTTGTGTTTATGACCTCCAGGCCAGCCCAATGACCAGCACTCCCCTGTAGACCCCGTGCATTGCTGGAGCCACTAATTCCAGGCACTGATGCTGGGGATTTCACCATTAGCCTTTGCTTTTTGCCTCTCCCACCTATGATTAAGGTGAGCTTTGCTATCTCCACTTCACAAATGAGGAGAAAGAGGCTCTGGGATTGCTAGTGCCTTGACTGAGGTCCCGAGTGCAGACAAGAACGGCTGTGGATTCCGCTGCCCTAAACTATACAAGAAGACCGTGACCAGGTGGTTACGCCCTGCAGGGAGGGGCTTAGACTGAGATTTGGTGGTGAGACCCCGTATCAGGACCTGGAGCCTGGCTGGGCCTGTAGTAAGATCCTGGAGGAGACCCAGATGTGGTCCCTACATGATGAGCTGGCCTCTACTGAGGCGTAGCTGCCCCTCTCCCCTGCTCCCCTTCCACCCCAGACTGCAGCTCAGCCTCAGTTTCTTTGCTGTGAGCAAACACTGCCTCAGGTCGCACCCTTGCTGGGCCTTGTCCCATGGGCACTGGTTCTCTCAGCTCCTTCTTCACCCTGTCTGAGCACCCACTGGGATGCAGACCTGTGGGCCACACTCACACCTGCTCGGCCATCAGCTCTCTCCAGAGACACCAGGATGCTGGATGCACAGGGAAGATGAGGCACCAGCCCCTTGCCCCAGGATGCCCCTGGGATCAATCTGGGTATTCCATCACCTCTCTCGGGGCATGCCCCTGAAGGAGGGCTGGGCATGCAGGCACCCCCTGAAGCTCTCCAGCCCCGAAATCTGGCACCTTCGCCACTCTCCGTGTCTCCCACAGGTCTTTCATCTTTCCTTCCACAGAAGGTGCAGGGTGCTGGGAGGGGGCTGTTCTTACGTCCTTCCCCACCTTCTCCAGAGCTACAACTTACAGCATGAACCGGTCTCTGTCTCACAGTGGAAGTCATGACTTTCACAACTATTGCTTCTGCTCCAAATTCACCCAAGCCTCCTACAGAGCTCAAAAGCCAAAAATGTGACTACATTCTCTCTGGGCTATTTTTTGTCTGCCTGGGGCAGTCAGCTTTGGCCTGAGGATCTAGATCTCCACCATGCAGTACAGTAGCCACCAGCCATGCATGCCCGTTGAGCACTTGTCTGAATCGAGATGTGCTCGAAAGATGAAATACACACTGCGACGTTAAAGACAGTGCTTCCCCCCCAAAAAGAATGTGAAGTATCTCATCAGTAATTTTTTACTGATTATATGTTGAAATGATAATATTTTGGAGATGTAAGAAAAATATATATATCAGATTTAATTTCACCTATTTCCTTCCTCATTTTTCTGTGGCTACTAGAAAATTAAAAATTATCTAAACAGCTGGCTCGCCTGAAGCTTCTCATGGACAGTGCTCTAGATTTAATGGCGGAAGGGCTGCAAGGGAGAAAGGAATTCTAGAAATGGGAAGCCCATGGTGCACACATTGGCATGGCCCAGCTTTAGTCTGTCTTATGTTCTCTGTCCCACCCCACCCACCGCCCACTGCTCCCATGCTAGAGAGAGATGGTCTGTGAGTCACAAACATGGGACCCACCCTCCTGCCAATGGGGCCCCTCTCGAAACAGACTTTGATCCCCTTCTAGGCCCTACTCATGGCCCCCTTCCTCTAGGAAGCCTTCCCTCTGACCACCCCACCCAATACACTCCTTTTTCTGAGTAGTTTGAGTTTTTGGCGGGAGCCCCTCACTGTGACATCTGTACTGCAGACTGTAGTTTTTCGACCCGTGGCCTGAGAGCCCACACCCATGTTAGGGGTACAGCTTGCCTGTGGTTTTCTCCCTAAACTCCTCTGAGGCAGAGGATGGGTCTGTGTTCTCCTCTCCCTATGAAAACCTCACCCAGGAGAGGTGACTTTCCAGACATTCAGAGTCGTGGGGCAGAGCCTGTGGAACTCTGGAGTTCTCTACAGCTTAGAAGTCAGTTTAACATCACAGAGAATCCGGTTTGGCTCAGTGCACTTTGCAGACACTATAAAGCCATATTCTTGACCCTAAGTCTTCTTCCTGAGGGGCACTTGCAGGGTCAGAGTGGCATGAATGCCCTGGGCGCTCACCTGCTCCCCCGTCTCTGCTAACAGAAGTGGCACATGGTGTTTGTGGCACGTCAGGCACTTCTAAGTGTGTTGCATATATTTATCTCATTTAGTCTGACTTCATTGCCAAAAAAATCCCGTGAGGTACCCTGTAGGCATACCTCATCGTATTGTGCTTTCCAATAGTGTGTTTTTTACAAATTGAAGGTTTGCGAAGACACTGCATTGAATAATTCTATCAGCATTGTTTTTCCAACAGCATGTGGTCACTTCATGTCTCTGTGTCATATTTTGGTAATTCAGGCAAATTTCAAACTTTTTCATTATTATTTTATCTGTTATGGTGACCTGTGATCAGTGATCTCGATGTGACTGTTGTAATTGTTTTGGGGCGCCACAAACAGTGCCCAGGTAAGACAGTGAATTTAACTGGTAGGTGTCGTGTGTGTTCTGATGGCTCCACCGACCAGCGTTCCCAGGTTCTGTCCCTCTCCTTGGGCCTCTCTGTTCCATGAGACACAATATTGAAATTAGGCCAATTAATAACCCTACTATGACCTGTAAGTGTTCAAGTGAAAAGAAGAGTCGTACGTCTCTTACTTTAAATCAAAGGCTACAGATGACTAAGCTTAGTGAGGAAGGCATGTCAAAAGCTGAGACAGGCGGGAAGCTGGGCCTCTTGTGACAAACAGGTAGCCAAGTTGTGAATGCAATGAAGTTCTGGAAGGAAATTAAAAGTGCAGCTCCAGTGAGCACACAGATGATAAGAAAGCAAAGCAGCCTTACTGCTGATATGGAGAGAGTTTTAGTGGTTTGGATGGAAGATCAAACCAGCCATAACATTCCCTTAAGCCAAAACCTCATCCAGAGCAAGGCCTTAACTCTCCTCCGTTCTGTGAAGGCTGAGAGAGGTGAGAAAGCTGCAGAAGAAAAGCTGGAAGCTGGCAGAGGTTGGTTCATGAGGTTTCAGGACAGAAGCCGTCTCTATAACAACAACATGCCGGGTGAAGCAGCAAGTGCTGATGAAGAAGCTGCAGCAGGTGATCCAGGAGATCTGCCTGAAATAATGGATGAAAGTGGTGACTCTAAACAACAGATTTTCAATGGAGATGAAACAGCCTGATACTGGAAGAAGATGCCATGTAGGACTTTCATAGCTAGAGAGAAGTCAGTGCCTGGCTTCAAAGCTTCAAAGGACAGGCTGACTCTCTTGTCAGGGGATAATGCA